TGATGTTCAAGTGTCAAGTGTGCAGGGCAATTGCTCCCTGGCTGCTTTCTAAACTCTTTTTAAATCTAAATGCCCAAGTGTATAGCACTTTGATTCTCTCTACTCAGTTATCATGTATGTCTATCAACACATCTTTTTTAATTGAGTACTTGTGTCTATAGCTAATGTTAACGGATGGGTTGGTAAAATTGCACTATTGGTCACTAAATAGTTTTTCCCCCGTGTGTGTGCATGACTGGGAGAAGGTGGAGGGGAGAAAGTATTTTAGTCTTGTACCCAAAGAGCACAATGTCTTAGCCGGCCCTGTATGAAGTTGGAAATGTCTGAACTGGTTACTAAAATGTTTGAATCATGCTTCAGTCCAAAGGAAAACTTTACTTACAGAGAGCTGGGGATGTGTCTTGATTCATCTCTACCTTTCTATATAATGTCCCCTCCTCTCTACCCATCAACTGCTTGCTGCTGGTGCTTTCCAGGATCTCAATGAAACCATAGCAGGAAACTATCTATATGTCTGTCTATCTAAAAAAACACTTTAACCCATTCAGGACCGAGGACGGTTGAGGACCGTCATCTGCATTTTTGCATTGCCGACCGGTGACGGTCCTGAACCGTCCTAATGGTCCAATGTACTTACCCGATCGCCGTCGTTCCCCCGGCGGCGATCGGTGTTGCTCCCGTTGTGGGGAGACTGCCTGCAGCCCAGACAGTCTCCCCATGGCGGATTAGGACCCCTGTGGCCATGTGATCGTTCAACAGAGCAATCACATGGTCACAATAGGTGTCCATGTGTCTGCCTGCAGGGGGACTGCCTGTGCTGACAGGCAGTCTCCCTGCTAGTGTAAAATCATTAAAAAAATTCAAGTTAAAGTTAATAAAAAAAGAAATAATTACATATGTGTATACATATGTGTCATACTAGGTGTATTTTTATATTAATATGTACATATATTAATATAAAAATACACTTATAATTAAATTACACACGTATATATATATATAACTATATATATTGTATATAAATATTATTATAAAATACAAATAAAAAGTAATTTAAATTAAATAAAAACATGTAAAAATAATAATAAAAATTTTAAAAAATATATATATCTATATGAAATTTTATTCTAACTGTATTTTGATAGTAATATATATATATTTATATCAAAATACACTTAGAATGAAATTGTATATATCTATGCATATATAAATAAATAAAAATAATACGAAATATACATATGTCTATATACAAAAAACATTAATTAAATAATTATATAAATATACAGGTAGACTTCAAATATATAAATATGCATATATATTTAAATTCTACGTGCATATTTATGTAATATTTTTACATAATTAAGTAATTTTATTGATTGCAATTTGAGGGACCTGCCTGCCATCCCACGCCCAAAGTCCAGAGAATTTAATTTGCTAGCACTATATTTTACCCTGTAACTTTCTATTGCACCCTAAAACCTGTACATGGGGGGTACTGTTTTACTCGGGAGACTTCGTTGAACACAAATATTAGTGATTCAAAACAGTAAAACATAACACATGATATTGTCATTGAAAGTGACTTTTTTTGCATTTTTCACACACAAACAGCACTTTTACTGATGATATAACTGTTGTGATACGTTTTCCTGTTTTGAAACACTAATATTTGTGTTCAGCAAAGTCTCCCGAGGGGGCGGGGCCGGGCCGCCGAGCCGCATGGCAGCAGACTATCAGGGCTCCCGGCCCAAACAAATTAATCGTGATCTTAAATGACCACAGAAGGCCCGAAGACCGGATTGCCCGCTATAATAATGGGGAGAATGACATCAGCTCTACAAAGACACCAATTAGACCCGTAAAGCAAGCTGTAGGCACCATAAAGGACTTCTAAGGCCTACCCAGGATCATAAAACCAGACCCGGGTGACACATGCCGATTCTAAAGAGACAGCAACTTACTCTGGCAACAGTAGCGACCGGCTCGGGGCACGGCCCCGCTCCGCCCCCCCGGCCGGTGGGGTTATCCGGCCTCATGGAGGCGTCACACGCCGAGACGGGAGCACCCCGCACTCGGCCCAGACTGCCCTCCTGAACGGGCAAAGGCTGCCGAACAGGAGCCTGCCGGTAAAAGAGCTGCAAGGACCATCTTAAATACGGACTCATTACGGTGAAAGAACGGCATGGACTATAGACTGCTCCAGATGGGCTGTCAAGGCGGCACATGTGGCCACGGATGACGACGGCGACTAAATGTAATCCCAGACGGCCTGCCCACCGAAGGAGTGGCGGCCCGGACTTACGGAGTATGTGGAGGTCCTCGGGGAGTCCAGTCCCTGGTGCTGCGAGTCCTGTGGATCAGGGGGATGCGGGCCTACCGGCAGACCGGTGGCCGTGAGGGACACGCATCACCCCCAAGTGTGTGGCCGGCACTGGGAGAGACGGGGGCCTACACTCCAAAGAAGCCTGAGAGGTGCTGGGGAGGTGCAGGGGGCAGGGGGCGCTCAGACCCTAGGTGTGGGGGTTCTGTAGTCGGTCTCTGGCCCCGAGTGCCCACGGGGCCATGGAGTGCCCAGTCGGTGGACAGTGCCTGTCTGGGGAGGACAGATGGAAACCCGATGCACTGGAACCCCATTGTTGCAGCGCCAGGAACGGCCCGGATCAGACCATTATAGAGTCCCCAGCTACAGCCGCTAAGCATGAACATAACAGACTTATAATTGCATATCAAAATATGTACAAATATCACATGCCCTTATAAGATTTCGTGTTTGGTTTACTTCATGGGCTAATAATGTGGCCAAGCATTCAGAACCTCCCGTAAGAGAGTTGCAGACCCCAGTATAAAGGAGGAATATTTATACCGTTATAATTAAGTGTACAAATGGATGTGATGTTTATGTTGTTTTATGTCCCTTATATGTTAGCGCCCGTTAAGACATGGGACGCAAGCACTTAATGACATGTTATTTTTATGAACCACATTGCTAGTATAAATGAATCTGCATTAGGATAAAACATAGGGAGCAGCCGCAGCTAGGAGGGCACGCCTTTTATGTTTTTAATACACTACCCTGCTGAAGTTAGACGTTAATACTATACCTGCTCACTGTTTAAAGATATACATTAGTAACCTGAACCAAGCAATTATTTACACACAGGCTGCATGCCGCTCTTAATAATATTGTAATAATTATAAACGGTATAACGATTGTATATTGCTGGGTGCGTAATGGCTGACTGCATCATAATAGGCGGTATACTAACAGGTCCACACTAAACTTAGAAAACACTACGCCCTTTGAGCTATGTAAAGTTCGGTGCCTACTTAATAGCAGACTAGTACTAAATTGTGCCCACTTATTAAATACACAGCGCTCTACTCGCAATGCTAACACTTAATACAAAAGTTGGTAGTTCTTACATTGACAACCAGAAACTTAACGAAACGCTTCATGCCGCACATGAACAGTGCGCAGTATTAGAGTTCACAGACCAGGCACAAAAACAATTATAACATATCACGGTTTGTAAGTAAGTGCTACATATATTAACAACATATTAAATATCTATGCTTTATTTCTGGTTACACATTTTAGACTCCGTTAGGTCCTTATAGCCTGACCGTTCTGTTAATGCTGTAATTTTGCAAGGAATCTTTAAGAGCATAGTATTCGACTTTACAGTGATGACTTAAGTTTCAGATATCTAATTATTTAAGTTTTTCCATAACAAATGCATTGTTTACGCTATATACTCTGCGTGGGAAAACTGCTTGTTATATCGACCTTAATAAATCAGATTTAAAACAAAGTCTCCCGAGTTTAACAGTACCCCCAATGTACAGGTTTTATAGCATTTGTGAAACTTACAGGGTCAAATATATGGGTCAAATATTTTTACATTGAAAAAGGCCAGGTTGGTTACGTTGCCTTTGAGGGCGTATGGTAGCACAGGAATGAGAATTACCCCCATGATGGCATACCATTTGCAAAAGAAGACAACCCAAAGTATTGCAAATGGGGTATGTCCAGTCTTTTTAAGTAGCCACTTAATCACAAACACTGGAAAAATTTAGCGTTAAATTTAATTTTTTACTTTTTTCACACACAAACAAATATGAATGCTAACTTTGGCCAGTGTTTTCGACTAAGTGGCTACTAAAAAAGAGTGGACATATCCCATATTGAATACCCCGGGTTGTCTACTTTAAAAAAAAAAATGTACATGTGTGGTGTTATTCAGAGATTTATGACAGATAATAGTGTTACAATGTCACTATTGATAAATTTAAAAAATTTATGTTTTGAAACCGCAATATCCTACTTGTACCTATAGCTCTATAACTTGCAAAAAAAAGCACGTAAACACTGGGTATTTTTAAACTCAGGACAAAATTTTGAATCTATTTAGCAGTTTTTTTCATTCGCTTTTGTAGATGAGTAAAAGATTTTTCGAGTAAAAGTGAAAAAACATGTATTTTTTTTCAATTTTTCATCATATTTTTAAAAAAAAATTTTAAATTAAATTACATGAGATTATATAAATAATGGTATGAAAAGAAAAACCCTTTTGTCCTGAAAAAAACAATATATAATTTGTATGGGAACAGTAAATGAGAGAGCAGAAAATTACAGCTAAACACAAACACCACAAAAGTGTAAAAAGAGGCCTGGTCGCAAATGTACAACATCGCAAAAACAGTCCAGTCTTTAAGGGGTTAAAGAGACACTGCAGCCTAATAAATGACCTTCAGTTTCCCCGTTGCTTTAAATTGTAAATTTGTATTACAGCATAGACAGAAAAATCATACATTGATTGCAATAAGAGAGCTTATCCCCATTTACAAAGATATCCCAGTTGGATTGGACCTAAATTAAAATCGTGTGAACAATAAAACAGGAATGGACTGTTATGGACATCAATTAAAATTTTGTATCAGTGAAAACATATAACAGATTTCTTTATACTTATCCTTATGAACCCCATTAATAGACTCATGTAACATCTCCCCACATTAAATCTCTCTAAAGGATCTTAACTATGCATGACAGGGCCGCCATTGGCAATCGCAAACTCTTTCCTCCTTTTCCCTACCTGGTAACCCTTCCCATGGCTTCCACTTGTCTTGGTAACCCTTCCTTCTCCTAGTCCAACTAAGTTTTGCCTTTATGTTCCTTTTCCTCATCTTTTGCTGCCTTTCCTTTGTTTATAGTGTCTCCCCCCTTCATTTTATCCTTCTCTCCCTTTTTACAAACCAAAGTTGTTTGTTCCATTTTGGATTGTTGCTTTCCACGGAGACCGTAGTGTCCCTTTAAGCTAGCCTTGTTTTATAGATTAATAGTTAAAAAGAAATGGGTAGACAAATATATCATTTTTGGGCCGTTTGGAGGAGCAAAGGTATGGGCTGTGGACATACTTGTTTGGATCTGAGAAAAAAAAAGAAAAAAAATGAATGCAGCCAAATGAAGTGGAGTTTTTCAAGTAGATTTATGTTCAAGTAGATTTATGTTCAAGGTATATAGTTGATGGTAAGTTTCAAAATACACACATAGAGATTACATTTTACAATTTACACATTTTGTTTTGTATATTTAGAGTCATTGTAATGCACAACACATGTGATGGCATTTGTGATATTACCAGACATGAATAGACATGTTAAATGTTACAAATCCTACAATAGTGAACATCAATTGGGTGCTTATATTGTGACACTGTATTCACATCATTCTTGGAGAGATTCTATGTGTTGTCTGGTTAACAATCTACAATCTATTTATTTAGATTCTGATTTAATAGATACGATGCATTTTAAAGCAGAACATATATTTAGTTGACTGTTCTGATCTAAACAGCAGAATAAAATGGAAACTTTGAGGATTTTCTCATTATATCTTTGCTGTAGAGTAGTACGTGTTGATAAATCTGAGATTTTTAGATCCATTTGTGTATCTTGCACGTTAGCCTCCTGTAACTTGGTTGTAACATGTGCACTTTTGCATCTTTTCAACTTATCAGAAACATGTGGATTCATTGTTATTGAAAAAATAATAAAACATTTTAATATATTTTTCTTTATTTTATAGGGAATGAAGAGTTCTTCTCGCTCTCTGAGTGCAGTAAGCAAACAAGGCAGCCATGGCACAGATCGAGCTAGAGCCATGCCCACCACCTCCAGCTTTGGCATGAAGGCTTCAAGATCTACCAATTCTCTTGCCTTTGAGTCTCGACTCAGCAAGGTAAAAGAAAGATATGACTAAACACATAGATCTAGCTTCTACCCAAAAAGATATTAATTACACTGAACAAAATTATAAATGCAACACTTTTGGTTTTGCCCCCGTTTTTCATAAACTCAAAGATCTAAGACTTTTTCTACGTACACAAAAGGCTTTTTCTCTTAAATATTGCTCACAAATCTGTCTAAATCTGTTAGTGAGCACTTCTCCTTTACCGAGATAATCCATCCACCTCACAGGTGTGGCACATTAATATGCTGATTAGACAGCATGATTAGTTCAAAGGTGTGCCTTAGGCTTGCCACAATAAAAAGCCACTCTAAAATGTGCAGTTTTACTGTATTGGGGGACTCCTGGAGAGGGTCCAAAAACCAGTCAGTATCTGGTGTGACCACCATTTGCCTCACGCAGTGCAACACATCTCCTTCGCATAGAGTTGATCAGCTTGTTGATTGTGGCCTGGGGAATGTTGGTCCAATCCTCTTCAATGTGTGAAGTTGCTGGATATTGTCAGGACCTGGAGCACGCTGTCGTATACGCCGATCCAGAGCATCCCAAACATGCTCAATGGGTGACATGTCCGGTGAGTATGTTGGCCATGCAAGAACTGGCATGTTTTCAGCTTCCAGGAATTGTGTACAGATCCTTGCAACATGGGGACATGCATTATCATGCTGCAACAGGAGGTGATGGTCATGGGCGAATGGCACAACAATGGGCCTCAGGATCTCATCATGGTATCTCTGTGCATTCAAAATGCCATCAATAAAATGCACCTGTGTTCGTTGCCATAACATACGCCTGCCCATACCATAACCCCACCGCCACCATGGGCCACTCGATCCACAACGTTGACATCAGCAAACCGCTCACCCACACAATGCATACATGCTGTCTGCCATCTGCCCTGTACAGTGAAAACCGTGATTAATCCGTGAAGAGAACACCTCTCCAAAGTGCCAGACGCCATTGAATGTGAGCATTTGCCCACTTAAGTCGGTTACGACGACGAACTGCAGTCAGGTCAAGACGCTGATGAGGACGACGAGCAGATGAGCTTCCCTGAGTTGGTTTCTGACAGTTTTTGAAGAAATTCTTTGGTTATACAAACTGATTGTTGCAGCAGCTGTCTGGGTGGCTGGTCTCAGACGATCTTGGAGGTGAAGATGCTGGATGTGGAGGTCCTGGGCTGGTGTGGTTACTCGTGGTCTGTGGTTGTGAGGCTGGTTGGATGTACTGCCAAATTTGTTGAAACACCTTTGAGAATGGCTTATGGTAGAGAAATGAACATTCAATTCACGAGCAACAGCTCTGGTGGACATTCCTGCAGTCAGGGTGCCAATTGCACGCTCCCTCAAAAATTGTGACATCTGTGGCAGTGTGCTGTGTGATAAAACTGCACATTTTAGAGTGTCCTTTGCAATAATCATGCTGTCTAATCAGCATCTTGATATGCCACACCTGTGAGGTGGATGGATTATCTCTGCAAAGAAGAAGTGCTCGCTAACACAGATTTAGACAGATTTGTGAACAATATTTGAGAGAAATAGGCCTTTTGTGTACGTAGAAAAAGTCTTAGTTCTTTGAGTTCAGCTCATGAAAAATGGGGGCAAAAACAAAAGTGTTGCGTTTAGAATTTTGTTCAGTGTATATATCCGTTTCCTTAACATTTTAGATCTTTAAATTTATTGTTTCCAGATACACCATGTTTTCTTGAATACATGTGGATGGCGCATGAAAAGTGTAATATGTAACATGATCGAATTAATGAATTAAAAGAAAACACAATCCTCCCATCCCAAGCCATAGGGTCTAATAATTTGTTCCTAACATTTTTACCCTGTATTTTGTAAGTGTGCATTATATCTTATGATAATTCAGTATCATTGTTATTATTTACAAATCTCCAACGTATTAGATAATGTTTATAATTTTGTTGAATTAGCTCCTAGACTGTGGCAACTTTCTAGTGTGGTCATACTTGCCTCAGCTAGACTGCAGTTAAAGGTCTATACAACATACTGGACACACCTAAAGTTCAGCTCTTAGCCAATGTGGACATAATGGCTTCACATAGACTGCAGTTATTGGTCAGCTGGGACATGTTGGCCTCACAGCCATTGGTCAATATGCCCACAGTCCTGTGCATATGGCTACTTGATGCCACCTTCTTTGTTCTTGAGTCCTAGTTGGCTAGGTTTTCCAGATTATTTTCCACTGAGGATCAAGGTATGGCCTACATGATTGCTGCTGGGTTGCATCTGTGAGCTGGTCTATGATATGTCCATTTACAGAGACACTATAGTCACCAGAACAACTACAGTTTAATCTTGTTGATCTGTTGAGTATAATCAATCCCTTCAGGCATTTTCATGCAAACACTGCCTTTTCAGAGAAAATAGCCACTGGAGGTGCTTCCTGGGGCAGTGCTGCCCAGTAGGCAGCACTACCTTTAGCTTCTCCACGCTTTCCCTATAATAAAATATTTTCTAAAAATTATATTTTTACTACTTACCAATATCCAATGGTTCAAACACTTGTAGGAGGAACAGTTAATTTTAATTAGTATTATTTTGTTTTTACTCAATACCTGCTGGCAGCTTAAGCAGTCAGTGAGCCTTTTTATTCATTTATTTGGAGATAGTTCAGGAATTGTACTGGAAATAACTTGTTAGCAATCTTCAAACAATTCAGCTGGCCTTTAGGATGGTTTCTTAAGATTTATTTTCTAAATTTGTAGTTGAGCAAATCCCTCCAAGAGAAATGGCTGTATTTTTTAGTATAAAAACTGGCTTCAATTTTCTTTTTTTTGTGTGTGTGTGTGAGATTTTCCATGAGCAGTTTAATCCTTTTTTTTTTTTTTTTAATTTTCTTTTTTATTTTATCTTTTTCAAATAATAAGGGATACAGAAAGAAAAAAAAGGGAAGGAAAAACAACCAAACAAGGTCACTTGTCTCTGTACATATCATCGATAGCATATAGTTCATCACTTTATATATGCCTAAATTCCAAGATATAACCTATCTTATATAGTTCATGTATCTTAAATTATATACAGTAAATTACAGTAATAACTAATATACATATTCACAAAATATTTTTTCCTCTCTCCTTTCTTTCCCCTTCTCCCTCCCTCCCCTCTTCTTTATCCTTTTACTTTTCTACTTTTCTTCTAAACTAACCTTTTTAATCCTTTTATGTCTTTTGCTCCTTTTTATTTTGTAATGTAGTAATTTAACCCCTTAAGGACACATGACATGTGTGACATGTCACGATTCCCTTTTATTCCAGAAGTTTGGTCCTTAAGGGGTTAAGCAGCAATACAAACTTCAGCATACAATAAAAGCATTTATTCACTGAGTACCAAATTACAGAGGACTGATAAATGATTTACAACATTTATTCAAAATAGCTGATGTGGATACAATCTTCAACTTTGCAATAGTTACAGGTTGGCTATTGGTGTCAATTTGGAATATCAGTTTTCAATTCACTACAATCCAGTTTAGTAAATAACGCACAGAGCTTTCCTACAGAAAACAAAAATATAGTTGCAGGAGTCATGTATTAAATAAAACAAAAACATGTATATGTATTATGTCTTGATATACACAATATATCAGTATATTATGTCTTGATATACAGTGGATACAGTGCATATCTTGAAGACATAAGCAAAAAAAAAAAAAAAGTAATTTATAAAAAATACAATTTCATATTTACACCCAATCAATCCATGTATTTTATCTTTCTCGGATAGCTAAAAAGAGCTAGCAGTGATGATATGCTCACAAAGCCAAGTGGAAGCATCCCCACAGCCAGGCTGAAGAAGACCATTACTACAGGAGCCATTTCAGAGCTTTCAGAACCCAGGCTAAGGGGCACTGCAGGTAAGAATGCAATATGGCTGTGATCATGCTCCATAGAATTCTTATCCTAAGTACAGAGTGACAGACTTGTCTACCGTGACACGTGACAGTTGAAAATGTTTAGTTGGTTAAATAATACGTTCTCCATGTGCTACTGTTATATGCAGTGGTTGCTGGTGAGGGTGGGGAAGGTTTCTGTGGAGGAATATCA